CCAGTAACACGGTGCCGCCTGCTGCGGCTGGACGCTGTGAGGCTGAGTCTCGCTGCTCACAGACTCGGAGGGACTCTTCCAGGTCACAAACACAGCTCGTCTCCCGACAAGACACGCCGCCACACGAGCTTTGCGCTCCCTGAAACTTTTCCTTTCCACCGTTCTAGCGCTTCCTCTGAAAATGTCCGTGTTGTTCCGTTTCCCCCACATTGAAGATGCTTGAAAAGGAGAATTTGTCTAATTCTCGGTATCTCGGAGGTGCCGGTGATCGTGTTTCCTTGAGCGGGGAAAGTGTGCTTCCTCTCCAGGAGCGGTCTGGAGGTGTCTACTTGTAGATATGACCTTACTTTCTGTTCCCAGTCACACTTATCTTCCTGAAAACTGGGCTCAAAGTCCTCATTGATCGCTCTGTGGAAAGGTCGCCTGAGCGCGTCCCGCTGATCAGAAACTCTGCGCGGGTCTGTGCTGTGTCTCTCGCAGCTGCCCACAGCTGAGCGCCGGTTTGGCGATTTCGCTTTCGACATTTGACTTTAGAAGAGATTTCATCACTTGTTGTGTGACAGACGTCCTGGCGGCAGCAACCACTTTCGACATTTTAACAGAAAAAAGAAATTTTACGCGGGTTTAGAATGAGTGGGTAAAAAACGATGTGTTAATGTTATTAATTTCGCCTCGTAAGACTAAGACTTAGCCGATACTGTGTAGTCAAAACTAAAAATGAGCCATTTGCTGCTTTTCCGGCACTTTTGCAAACATTAGAGCAATGACCTACAGAGCATTAGACTGTGGAAAGACCAAAAATAAAACATATGTCCTTTGCTCAAGCGAAAGTTAAGAGGTCTGTCCCGAAAGGGCTTCAGTTCACTTGTGTGAATCATTCTCGTGCACCATATTCCCATCTGCCTCTGTCGACTGAGCTATTCCCACGTCTCCGTCATAAATGGAGGTTTATACCTGAAGTTCGGGAAGAACAACAACGACTAGTCGGTCTCACACAGCTGCTCCTATTAAGCACCAGCATTACGGAAATTAGCTCTATATATTTAACACAACCCCTCCCTTTGCAAGTATATCCCCTATCTTTGGTGCTTCTTCAAATCATTCTAGCATGTTAAACAAAACTGCCTCTTTCTAAACACATGTTGGGTGGGTGTTAAAATCCATAGTTTTCTAAGTGTCCTTCTAGTGTAGCTCTAATTACAATTTCCAAAACTTCATTTGTAGCAGATGACAGGCCCCTTTTTTCCTGGTTGTGTGTTTTCGTATATTGGCATAACATCTGCAGCTCTCCAATCTGTCCATACGGCTCCCATTCCCAGATTCCTTAGTTTGAGTTGGTGACTATCATCCCTCATACATTATATGTGACCTAGTGGTGAATAGCTGTCTGTTATATGGACATAAATGAACTGTGGATTGACAATTAACCAATTACCCAGAACTTAATTAACTAAGGTAAACCAAGGTAAGCTATATGATTGTTTTGATCACTGAATCAAAACATGTAGACTCCCTACATCTCAGCAAACATCCCCCTCTGCTTTGAAGCTGGAAAAGTTTAAACTACCAGGTGTTTCACACTTTATACTCTTAGTGGCACTTCCATAGTCACCTCTAGCTGTAACAATATGATTCAACAGTAAGTCCGGAAAATTATTTTGGGTGAACAACAGACTGAAAAGAAAACATTTTTACAACAAAACAGGATCATTGGTATATGGTGAAATTTATTGCAATAACAGTCTTCTTTCCAAAGAGAAAATCAAGCTGAATTCCTAGAATTGACACATGCAGTGTAGACTTTGAAGATGTGTGTTTAGTTACAAAAGGTTTGTTACCTTTACTGACAGCTGTTAGTGGAAGATTTTCTATATCCTGGAAGAAATCTATCAACATCAGTGATCGTCTTCAAAAAGAATGTTCAGGGTAACTCAATGTGCAGGGTTGTGAGTGTGCAGTTCAGTGGTGTTGAGTGTTCAGGGTGAAGAGTGTAGACAGGGTCACTAAGTGTGCAGGGCTGTGAGTGTGAAGCTCAGTGGTGTTGAGTGTTCAGGGTGTAGAGTGTAGACAGGGTCACTGGGTGTGGAGCTCGGTGGTGTTGAGTGTTCAGGGTGTAGAGTGTAGACTCAGTGTGCAGGGTTGTCTCTCTTTCTCTCTTTTATCTTCTTGTCTCAGTCCTGCAATAAAAACAGACACTGTACTACATCAGTTTGCAGTATAAAGCAAGAGACATACTTAGTTTTGGTGAATCATTGAAGTACAGGAAATTGGGGAAATATTTTTGTCATTGAAATCAAGAAATGGAGCCTGAGAGAGGGACAATCAGAGTTTAAGGCCTTAAAGAAACATTATAGATGTGTCTGTTAAACTGACGGCCTAATGTAGCTCCAGTGTATGATATTATTGCCTTATTAAATGAACAGAAGGGGTTAGAGACCACATTACCTCCTCCCTGTGCAGCGGGTCAGAAGCACGGCTGTGAGTCCCAGCATCACCAGCACAGACAGCACCGTCCTCACTATGAACTCCACTGGCACTTGGACAGGGGCTGTGGGCCTGGGGCCTGGAGAGAGAGAGACATCAATCAATGCTGGTGATGAAGACAGACAGCTCAATGTCTCAGTCTAAGAAGCTGATCTTTCCAGGGGCTCACCAGCACAGTAGTTGTGAGGGTTGACCTCTGTGATCTTACAGCTGACAGGGTTGCTGACAGAGCAGGTGTAGGAGACGTTCAGATTTTCTATCTCAAGAAGGAGAGTCAGATTGGAGCTGGTAGAAGAGGAGCTGCGGCTCACAGGTTGGTCCTGTCCCTCTCTGTGCCAGAACAGGGTGAGTCCTCTCCCGTTCTCCACTGAACACAGCAGAGAGCAGAATGTGTTTGACGGAGAGGCTGTGCGGGTGGCCTGGACTCTTGCCCTTGACACGAGCTCTGTACAGGAGGGGAAGAAAAGACGAGGAGAAGGGTAGTCAGAAGAGTCTTCACTAGAACAGAAAGGCCTACAAGGGGACGTGAGCCAGGCATTCAAAAACTTCAAAGGTTTGAATCAAAGGCATTGCCAAAACCAGCCCAGCCGGCTTGTTCAAAATCGACACTGAAACACAAACCAGTGGACAAAAGTGGGAGCAGGAGACACTCCTTTACACAATGGGTTGTGGGAGTGTGGAGCAAGCAAAGAATGAGCATTTGGTAGCTAGTTGTTCATTGATCCAAGGATCACCCACCACCTTTTGCGTAAAGACGTGCCTCCTGTCCTGACTGGACTATCTCATCCGGTTGTACTGGCTTCAGTAGATCAGATTGAAACACTCTTCAGCCATTTACCAAACACGTTTACTTGAAACTGTTTGTACGACGTCTCATTGTTCTTGATTTCCACGATGTAGACTCCAGTGTCGTTCAGGTTGAGGTTGAGGATTTTGATGTGTCTGCTCTCACTGTCCCACTGCACTCTGTCTGTGAACTGTGCATCCCTGGTGTTGCAGTTCCTCCCGTTCACATCCGCAATGACGTTGCTGTGGAATTTCAGGAATCCCTTCTGCAGTCTTTCAGCTCTGAAGGTCACATTTTCCCCAACTGTGACATTAAGTTCAGAGGAATCTGATTGATAGGTCAGGCCTGGGAATACAAAGTAAAAAATTAGGAACATAGGGCAAAACCTATATATTTTTAAAGTCATGTTTAAATTGAAATTCCACTTGCTTATATGAAAATAAAATCAAAATGTAAAAACTGCAAATGTGTAGGATCTTAAGTAGTAGCAAATTGATCTTAGAAAAAAATCAAGTTACTTCCTAACACCCAAATCTCTTTGCAAAGAAGGGTCTCTATTCAGTTCCTTCAGCCTGTCAGTGTGGGACACTCCCTACAGACTAAAGAGATTCAGTTCCTTCAGCTTGTCAGTGTAGGGCAGCTAGCAGAACATTGTACATAATATTCTTCAGGAGGTCTTACAGGTGCATTATACAGTTCGAACGTTTTTAACACAACATCCAGTGATTTAAGTTCTGTGCCTTTATCCATACAGCTTAACATGTTGTCTGTTTTATTGATTCTCCGTATTGAAGATGTCAATGATGAGTCAATATAAACACCTCAGTCTTTTTCAGGAGTCTCCTCCTCTAGCTCAGTGTTTCCCCTTTCGTTCCTTCAAGGAAATCTGGTGATTGGTGAAAATGGTGAAAATGGTGCCCTATAGTGTGTCGCACCGCCCTGAGTGTGTGAGTGGAGTCGTGGGTACGCTGTGACTCTGATCTGAACAACCGAGGAAGAACTCCCCCTGGTGGTCTATCGTAGTCACAGTGCTTTCATTCAAATTCTATTTCGAAGAGCTTTCTTGGCATCACCGATGAGTTACAGCGCTGCCAAAGCAGATACAACTAGGTCAACATCCACAGACATTTACAGTAAAACATATTATTTGACATCTACATACAATATATTGAACATAGAACATTATCAAGAGAGCCTCACTAACTTTATTCTTATTCTTATTGAGAGACAGGCTCGCTCTGTTCTTCAGGCTGTGACAATAGATCACACGCTATTATTATTATTATTATTATTGAGAAACAGGCTCACTCTGTTCCTCAGGCTGTGGCAGGAGATCACACACTGTATTATTATTATTGAGAGACAGGCTCACTGTCTGTTCCTCAGGCTGGAACAGGAGATCACACACTGTATTATTATTATTGAGAGACAGGCTCAGTGTCTGTTCCTCTGGCTGGGACAGGAGATCACATACTGGGCTGCAGCTCTATCGAGTTTCCTCCCTCCGAAAGACTGTAAACTGTTCTGATTGTGCCAGGTGTGGGAATTCTGGGATGAGATCTGTTATTTTAGGGAAGAATGTTTGTCTAATCCCAGAGTTTTTCTTGCAGTGCAGCAAAAACATGCTTTTATCCGGAGCAAGAATTTCCTTACGAACTCACAGTACTTTCAATTTGTCCAATCTTAATTCACGTCTCGTAGACGACTTCATATACAGTACACGGACCCTTGAAGACAACGAAGAGATTGAATTAAAATTAATAATTCAATTAACAGTGCATTGTATCGTCATATTTCTGCTAAAAAAGTTTTCGTTGCATTTCTGTATACTCCCTGTGTGATAGATAGCAAGGGGGCCAATGAACCTTCCGGGTGCGGGGTTTTGGGGGAGTTTGGGGGGGCTCTTAACTTTCCGGTTTCGGGGAGTCTGCTGGCTGCAGTCTGCGGATGCGGTTTCTGTCCGCGCTGTTGCCTCACAGAGCACACAGCGCTGTGCTCGAGCTCCTGCGCCCCTTCCCCAGAGCTCGCGCTATGCGGTTAGTTCAGTGACAGCGGGCTCTCCAGCTCTGGCGCTCTGAAATGACGCGCTTGAATTGAAAGGTCTCGCCTTAGTCGGCCCTGCGTGTGCCCGGATCAGTAACCTGCATTATAGTCTACTACTCGAATCCTGGATTCTGACAAACTGAATTCGTTCACGTTGTTTCTCCCGCCTGTGAATCGTACCGAGAATTACAGCAGATCTGAGAGCTTCAGGTCAGAGGTTGCAGACCCTGTTCATGCAGAGCCCCAGTCCAGTCAGTATAGGGATCCCCAGCCCTGATGCTGGAGACCCCAGCCCAGTTACAACCTTGAAGTACAGTACAGGGGTCCCCAGCCCTGGTACTGGCGAACCCTAATCCAGTGTCACTCCTTTGTGGGCATGTCCAATACAGGGTCACTCCCCTGTTGGTGTGTTTCATACAGTGTTAATCCTCTGTGGGTGTGTCTGATACAGCGTCACTCCACTATTGACTATTGGTGTGTATGATACAGTGTCAATCTTCTGTGGGGATGTCCGATACAGGGTCACTCCTCTGTGGGTGTGTCTGATACAG